CCCTAAAAATGACTGTTTCCCTCTGTTTTTCCCTATTTTCTATATATTCTTATGAAATTTGAATTTCCAGATTTTTGCACCCAAAAAGACTCATACCGCACCACCGGCCAGATTTGATCCTCATTAGTCCATTCCATGACTCACTACTACTTTCGAGTTATTCTCCAAGGTCATTGATGGCCGGTCCCCAAACTGCACATAAACAGATGAGTTGCCCGCTGTTTTCGTCTTTTACGGTCGAGTGAAATATACAAACTCGCCTGAAGGCCTGTCTTCCGTGTTCTCTCTGGTCAGGTTTCGGGGTTCGTACTGATTTCGTGAGGTATTTCCTTCCGGTTCTATTGAGACTTGATTCGGGTACCGCAGTTGGGCACACCAGTGTACCGTCACTATTCCGCTGGGTCGTATCGTTCGGTTCGGGGGTCACTGTTGCCCCACGTATCGTTGGTCACGGCTCGTGCTAGTCCAGTCGTATCGTCCAATCCAATGTTACAAGAGAGAACTAAGAAGGCATCGGTCTGACCGTAGAAGCGATTAAATTGCTTCCAGTGATACTGCCAAATTGCTTCCTTGGAATTTAACTCGAATTTGGGAATTCGACAAAACCGCTGTTTGTATCACCACTCATTTGACGATGAACTATGCCCTCGCTGACCAACTGAGTGAGTAACCAGCACCGGATAACTGGAAGGCGAACCTCAAGTTTGCGGATGATATCGTCGTTCTCGGAGAAATGACGGACAACATATAGTCGATCCTCGCCCGCTGTTTGGAAATAAATAAGCCGGAGACTAAAACCACCTAGATCGGAGCAATCCTAGCACAATATCCGAGTAAAAGTCAACGACAATCCGGTAGAGTTTTTTACTTTACTGCGCCTGGCTCCTTGGAAAGGATAATAAGCCGGCTCCAGGCATGATCATGAGAGCCTGGTACGAGAGACGTTCCCAGCGTCACTCGGCGTTTTCTAATTTGAGGGTGCACCTCTAGCCTTTGCACAAACAAGTGCGAACTTTGGTTTAGGCCTGCAAATACCTCAGTTTTACCATCCAACCAAACAACGTATCTATCCAGCTGCGATCCGTTCTGTCTTTAAAGCCGAATGCGAGTAGTGTTAAGTAGGAGTTCGAGACCTCAGTGGTGTTTGCGCTACAAGCTGAAAGCAATTGCATGACCGATGACCTGACGAGAGAAAGTCCGACGACGTTGCTGTTCTATCGAAAAGCTTTCTAAACAGCTCCAATACCAGTCGGCTGCAGTGGTTTGGGTGTGTTTTCGGGTGTCCTGCAACGGAGTTCTCGAGAAAACCTCTATTCGTGGCGCCGTTTTTGGGATGGCACTGTCGTCTCAATAGCCAGTTGAGGACTTGGAGCATCTCAGTCAATGAAGAGCTGGGGCACCTGGATCTATCTGAACGATATCTATAACCTCCAAAACTCAAATCAAAACTGGTTTCAACTCCACGAGGAACTTGCTGCTAAACACCGCGCATGGCCTAAGTCCACTCATCCTTACGCAGTAGTCAGTTGCATAAAAGTAAAAGGAGTATCACTGTCGAGTTCCACACACACTGCCCCGAGATATCAGGAGAAAAAATTGACAAAGAATCATTTTTGGGACTCACCACAAAGTCAAGACCGGATACTGTGGAGCAAACGAAGCGCTCACCGATGGACCCCGTCGAAACACAAGCCAATTTGGTATCGCGCCGGAGAAGATCCCAAGTAGACAGCACTTAAACGGAAAGGGAGCAAGGAGCATGGGAACCGATGGAACGGAACTTTTTATCAGCACTGAACTGTTGTGGACCGAGTATTCCATGTGAAGTAATAAAAGCTAATATGATTGAGCTAAGGTGCTTAATAATAGAAAGAAAACAGGCATAAAAGTGGAACATAGTGGACAGCAAAAAAAGTATACGGGAATGCACTAAGAATAAGATGTATTGATGCTAGTTTGTACTTAGATCCACACATACATCTACTTCCTATTCGGCATTTTTTGATCACCGCTCAGTATAGCGAAAATCTTCAGGTAAATAGTTTATTTCGTTCTATTTGACAAAATAAATCCTTCCAGCATAAACTTCTAATCACCAATTAATCGTACAATGAAATATAATTGATGAAAAAATGTACAGAAATAATGGAACTATTGGGCACATATAAGGCACAAATCACTTTCAAAGGGAGGAAAACGAAGAAGTGGGGACGAATTAGTTCCCGCAGTCCAATTGAGCATAGCTGTATACCGGGGAGTTATGCGATCGCGATTTCGTACACCAATGGTGGTCGCATCCGAAACAAACTTGACCACTTCCCAGCGCGATTCCACGAGGGCATTTTACGTGAACAACTCAGTGCCCTTCTATGGCAGAGGTGCTTCCATCACAAAAGTAAGGGGCTAACATTATCGGGTCGGTGAACTACTCACTACATATGTATCTCACCCACTGGAATTCTCATGGCATTCCAGGGTAGATCCAGCTGGTAATTTCAGAGTGGGCATGGAGCCACCTACGTGGGCGGAACAGAGCTATCTGCGTAGCCGGATAACCAAGCACATCCGAATGGGTTGGACGCGAAATAATGAGATTGAGGTTTAGCACAACAAACCGGTCTGTCAAGGCAGCGACACAGAAGAGGAGCTGTGGCTTTAATTGCACGTGATCTGCTGCAGACCGATCACCAATCCGATCGAGGGGCATGGATCCGTGTTGCTGACACCGCTGAGTGGTAAGATTTGCATAGGTTATGGCAACCAAGCACCGAAAACCCCTGCTGTATTAGCAGATCTACATTAACGTTGTCAGAGTAACAACAAATATGGAATAGTGAACTGGTACGTTATCAGCATTTATGATATAAACTATTTCGTTTTCTGCAGTAAGCACACGCAAGATGGTTCTGGAATTAAACCATACTCAATCGCAGTGTTGTTGTTGTGTTTTTTTTCTTTATTTTAAAAACGAACACCGTTAGAGGAAGTATCACAGAACGCCGAAGAGCACCCGCTTTAACTGTGTGTGCGTGCTCGACAGTGATTTGGCGACTCAGGCGGTAATAGTGTGGTCACGCAGGACGCTTCACAAAAAATGAACTACCTCGAACACCGAGGGCATTGTCAAGAGTTCTTCGTGAGAAGCA